CCAAATATAAATACTCAGTACAGGGGGAATCTACCGGGTGTAGTCCCGTAGTTCCAATGTAAATGTGCAGGGGGATCTCCCGAAATACCATTCTGTAGTCCCAAAGTAAACATGCAGGGGGATCTCCCGGGATACCGTCTCGTAGTCCCAAAGTAAACATGCAGGGGGATCTCCCGGGATACCGTCTCGTAGTCCCAAAGTAAACACACAGCAACAACAAGAAGAGTACACAGTTAAATTCGAGTTTCATACCAAGGTAAAACCGGTATTTCTAACCTAGCATGATGCACGTAATCCAAATAAGGCAGTTTGAGCAAGGAAGGCAATTAAGTCAATTAGACATGCTTTTCTAGGCTAACAACAGGCTTAAATTGCAAGTAGTATAAACAAGAAAAGAAACATAATGGTAATTACTTAATGAAAACCCGGATTTTCAACAACTAGCACAAGTACGCACTCGTTACCTCACGTACAAGGCATCTCAATTATCAATAATACCAAATCCTAAGGAGAAGGTCCCACACACAAGGTTAGGCAAGTCACTTACCTCGAACCAACTCAAAAGTCAATCCGAAACCACGTTCTTGCCACGAGTACTCGACTCTAAATGGCCCAAATCTATTCAATTCAATTGCATAATATAAATAACATTTCAAGTAACTAATTCCACAAAAAATTCTAAGTTAATACGCGAAATTAGGTAAAATAACCAAAATGCCCCTCGGGCTCACGTCTCGGAATCAGGTGAAATTTACATTTTCAGAAACATCGTACTCTCCCGAATCTATACATAATAAGAACACTGAAATCGAAGTTCAATTGGCCCCTCAAATACCCATGTTAAGGTCTCTTAATCTCAAGCCCTAATTACCCATTTTTCCCAAATTTTTCACCACTAATTAGGTCTTTAATCACATATAAACGAGTTATGAAGTCAAAAATGTTAAATCCAAGTGATTTCCCCTTAGGTTTCCTCACAAATATCCCTCAAAATCTTCAATCCCGTTCAAAAATGGTGAAAAGATGAAGAAGGGTCGCGGATGAGCTATTTAAATACTGCCCAGATTTAACCCTATGTGGTTGCAGAAATACCTATGCGATCGCATAAGACAACTTCCTCACAGAAACGCGATCGCAACCAGCTCTATGCGATCACATAGAGCAATTTTATTACCCCACTGCCACACCAAGTCCTTCTACGCGAACGCAAAGGTCCTTATGCAAACACAATGACTAACACTGCTCACCCTATACGATCGCACGCCTACCTTTGCGATCGCGATTCACAAAAATGCTTGACCTCAACTTACCCTACGTGATCGCGTGTGGACTCACGCGATCGCAATGAACAAATTACTGCTGCTAAAAATACCAGAAAACCAGCAATCTCCCAAAGGCCAAAAGTGCCCGTTTGAGCATCCAAAATACACCCGAGGCACCCGGGACCTCAACCAAACCTACCAACTTATCCCATAACATCTTTCAAACTTGTTCCAACCTTTGGCACACTCAAAGCAACATCAAAACACCAATTTAGCATCAGATTCAAGCCTAAGAACATCAAAAACTCTCAAAATACACTTTTGATCAAAAAGTCTATCAAACCTCGTCCGAATAAACTGAAATTTTGCACACACATCACATTAAACACTACGGAGCTACTCCAACTTTCAGAATTCTATTCCATCCCTCATATTAAAATCTCACTATCGAACCAGAAACATAAAAAATTCAACTTTCGGCATTTCAAGCCTAAATTAGCTACGGACCTCCAAAACACAATCCGAACAGGCTCCTGAACCCGAAATCACCCAACGAAGCTAACAGAACCATAAGAATTCCATTCCGAGGCCGTCTTCACACTGTTCTGACTACGGTCAAATTTTTAAAACTTAAGCTCTCTTTTAGGGACTAAGTGTCCCAAAACTCTCTGAAACTCAAAACCGAACATCCCGACAAATCAAAATAGTAGAAATAAACACGGGGAAAGTAGTAAATAGGGGATCAGGGAATTAATTCTTAAAACGACCGGTTGGGTTGTTATATCCTCCCATACTTAAACATTCGTTCGTCCTCGAACGAGCATAGAAATATACCTGAAGTAGTGAAAGGATGAGGGTAACGACTGCGCATATCCTACTCGATCTCCAGGTCGCCTCCTCGACCGGCTGACCCCGCCACTGAACCTTTACTGATGCAATATTCTTTGACCCCAGCTTTCTAACCTGCCTGTCCAATATTGCCACTGGCTCCTCAACATAAGATAGATCCTTGTCCAACTGGACTGAATTGAAATCCAATACATGCGATGGATCACCGTGATACCTCCGGAGCATCGAAACATAAAATACCTGATGAACTCCTGCCAAGCTGAGAGGTAGGGCAGGCTCATCAGCAACCTTCCCAACACGCTGTAATATCTCAAAAGGACCAATAAACCTCAGACTCAACTTTCCTTTCTTCCCGAATCTCATAACGCCCTTCATAGGCGATACCCGAAGCAGAACCCACTCTCCAACCATATAGGAAACATCACGAACCTTCCGATCTGCGTAACTCTTCTGTATGGACTGGGCTGTACAGAGTCTATCTTGAATTACCTTAATCTTCTCCAAAGCATCCTGAACTAAGTCTGTGCCCAATAATCTAGCCTCACCCGGCTCAAACTAACCCACTGGGGATTTGCATCGCCTACCATATAAAGCATAATACGGTGCCATCTGAATGTTGGACTGATAGTTGTTGTTGTAAGCAAACTCTGCCAGTGGTAGGAACTGATCCCAAGACCCTCCAAACTCAATCACACATGCACGAAGCATATCCTCAAGAATCTGAATAGTGCGCTCGGACTGTCCGTCCGTCTGAGGGTGAAATGTTGTGCTCAACTCTACCCGAATACCCAACTTATGCTGAACGTCCCTCCAGAACCACGATGTGAATCGACTACCCCTATCGGAAATGATGGAATCTGGAATAACATGCAGACGAACAATCTCCTGTATATAAATCTCCGCCAACCACACCAAAAAATAATTAGTACACACAGGAATGAAATGCACGGACTTGGTCAGCCGATCCACAATCACCCAAATGGCATCGAACATCCTCAAAGTTCGTGGGAGCCCAACTACAAAGTCCATGGTGATCCACTCCCACTTCCACTCCGGAATCTCTATCTACTGAAGCAACCCACCGGGTCTCTGGTGCCCATACTTCACCTGTTGACAATTGAGACACTGAGTTACAAACCCAACTATGTCTTTTTTTATCTACTTCCACCAATAGTGCTGTCTCAAATCCTGATACATCTTCGCGGCACCTGGATAAATGGAATACCGTGAACTATGGGCCTCCTATAAAATCAACTCCCGGAGCCCATCAACATTGGGTACACAAATCCGACCCTGCATCCTCAATACCCCATCATCACCAATAGTTACATCTCTGGCATCACCATGCCGAACCTTGTCCTTGAGGACAAGCAAATGAGGATCATCATACTGATGCTCCTTGATACGATCAAATAAGGAAGACCGAGAAACCACGCAAGCTTGAACCCGACTGGGCTCCAAAAGATCCAATCTCACAAACTGGTTGGCTAAGGCTTGAACATCCATCGCCATAGGCCTCTCCGATGCTGGTAAATAAGCCAAACTCCCCAAACTCTCTACCCGACGACTCAAGGCATCAACCACCACATTGGCCTTGCCTGGGAGATACAGAATAGTGATATCATAGTCCTTCAGCAACTCTAACCACCTCATCTGGCGTAAATTTAGATCCTTTTGCTTGAACAGGTGCTGCAAGCTCCGATGATCAGTATAAATCTCACAAGGCACACTGTACAAATAATGACGCCAGATCTTTAAGGCGTTAACAATGGCAACTAACTCAAGGTCATGGACCGGGTAATTATTTTCGTGAACCTTCAACTGTCTGGATGCGTAGGCAATCACCCTACCGTCCTGCATCAATACCGCTCCAAGGACAATCCTCGAAACATCAAAATAGATAGTGTAAGACCCCGAACCTGTAGGCAATATCAAAATTGGGGCTGTAGTCAAACTGTCTTAAGATTTTGAAAGCTCGCCTCACACTCTTCCATCCACTGGAATGGAGTACCCTTATGGGTCAACCTGGTCATAGGGGCTGCAATTTATGAAAAGCCCTCAACAAAACGACGGTAATATCCCGCCAAGCCAAAAAAACTATGAATCTCTATAGCTGAGGACGGTCGGCCAACTCTGCACTACCTATACTTTCTTTGGATCAACCTGAATACCCTTACTCGACATCACGTGGCCTAAAAATGCCATGGAATCCAACCAAAACTCACATTTCGAGAACTTAGCATATAACTTCTTTTCTCTCAAAGTTTGAAGCACTGTCTTCAGGTGTTTCTCATGATCTTCCCGACTTCGGGAATACACTAGAATATCATCAATAAAGACAATGACGAACGAGTCAAGATACGGCTGGGACACACTGTTTATTAAATGCATGAAGGCTGCTGGGGCATTGGTAAGCCCAAATGACATAATAAGGAACTCGTAATGACCATATCGAGTCCTGAAAGCAGTCTTCGCGATATCTGGCTCCCGAATCTTCAACTGATGGTAACCTGAGCGCAAGTCAATCTTAGAAAACACTCGTGGGCCCTGAAGCTAGTCAAATAGATTATCAATACGGGGCAAAGGATAACAGTTCTTCACTACAACTTTTTTTAACTGGCAATAATCAATACACATACGCATAGAACCATCCCTTTTCTTCACAAACAAGACAGGAACACCCCAAGGTGATACACAGGGCCGAATAAAGCCCTTATCAAGCAATTCCTATAACTGATCCTTCAACTCAGGAGGAGCTATACGATACAGAGGAATAGAAATGGGCTGAGTGCCCGACAACAGATCAATGCCAAAATCAATATCTCTATCTGGCGGCATGCCCGGAAGATCAGCTGGAAATAAATCAGGAAAATCCCATACTACTGGGACTGAATCAACTGAAGGGGTATCAATACTGACATCTCTCACATAAGCTAGATACGTATCACACCCCTTCTCAACCATATGTTGAGCCATAAGGAAAGAAATAACTCTACTAGGAGTGTGATCTAAAGTACCTCTCCACTTAACACGCGGTACACCTGGCATAGCCAACGTCACGGTTTTGGCGTGACAATCAAGAATAGCATAATGGGGAGAAAACCAGTCCATGCCCAAGAAAATATCAAAATCTACCGTGCTGAGCAATAATAAATCAGCTCTGGTCTCAAAACCACTAAGAGCAACCAAACACGACCGATAAATGTGGTCCACAATGAGAGAATCTCCCACAGGAGTAGAAACATAAATAGGGGAACTCAAAGAATCCCGAGGTACACCCAAATACGGAACAAAATAAGAAGACACATAAGAGTAAGTGGAGCCTGGATCGAATAGAACTGATGCATCTCTGTGACAAACCAGTATAATACATGTGATAACAGAATCGGAGGCAACAACCTTGGTACAGGTAGGAAGGGCATAGTATCTGGCCTGGCGTCCCTCTCTAGGGCGACCTCTACCTCCCCGGCCTCCACCTCTAGCTGGCTGAGCAGGTGGGGTAGCAACTAGAGCTGTAACCATAGCTTGAGAACTCTACGGGTCACGCTGTGACTGAGAAGTCTGTGGAGGTGAACCCCTCCTAAGTCTGGGGCAATCCCTCACCATATGACGTGTATCACCACACTCAAAACAAGCTCTAGGAGGACGTAGCAGCTATGACTGGCTCGGGCCAAGTCTGCTGGACTGACTACTGAAAGCACCTCGCGCAGGAGGCGCACTAGATACTGGAGGTGCATAATAAGGCTCCTAGGGCCAAGGAGGAGCTGGAATACCACTGGCTGCTGGAAAAGCTGAATGAATGAGGCGACTCATATAACCCCTACCATGATGACCTGCTGTTGGGACACGATCACTAGAATAATGGACCGACTCTCGAGACCTCTTGGCCTCCATCTCCTCTCTCTCCCTAGCATGCATACCCTCAATCCTCCTAGCAATGCTTACCACCTGCTGATAAGAAATATCCATCTCCAACTCACGAGCCATGCTAGACCTGATGCTAGAAATAAGCCCCTCAATAAACCGGTGAACCCTCTCACGAACAGTAGAAACCAAGGCTGGCGCATGTCTAGCCAGGTTAGTGTAACGAACAACATACTCTGATATTGTCATAGCACCCTAGTACAAATGGTCAAACTCTGTGCGCCATGCGTCTCTGAGGCTTTGAGAAACAAACTCTCTTAGGAACATATCTGAAAACCGAGTCCAAGTCAGTGAAACAGCCTCATCCGGACTGTCTAACGCATAGATGCGCCACCACTCATAGGCGACTCCTCGAAGTTGGAAGGCAGTAAAAGAAACCCTACTCGATCCTGATATACCCATAGTGCGGAGGATACAGTGACACTCCTCCAGAAATCCCAGGGC